TTTTTTTTTTTTTTTTTTTTTTTTTTTTTTTTTTCGTTGGGTTCGAATCCCATCGTATTCAGATCAGATATTCCACTTCTCAAAGCATATTATATTGAATTTGGCGCTAACATTATTTTAGAAGCAGTGACTACTTAATCCATTTTTCCTTTATATTCAGCATTAACAGTTATTTGGTAAGCAAGCAACCTCGACTGGAAAATCAAGCGTATTTTTCTAAATCAAAATGCTTCCTGGGAACAGTTTCATGACAAGAGCTCTCTTACTCCACTTGGTTTTGATTCTCGGTATTTTCGAGTCTCTAAATAATGCGCGCGCATTGCTTGTCGTTTATCGTGTAACAACTCCTCTGATATGCTTATATTTGAAACTAGCAACTTCTTTCTTATTTGCAGCAACTCGTCTAATAATTAGCAACTCGTCTCAAATGCGGCAGCTTGTCTAATATGCAGCAACCCACTTCTTGTTTGTTTAACTTGCTGCATGCCTCTTTTGGGCCACCGTAAATATCGGCATAGAAATAACGACTGTCGATAAAGGGCAAGCTAAATAGTCGATTATTTACTAAACAAGAAAGTCCAGGACATAAAGCTGCTAACCATATCAATTTCTCCTTCTTTATCTTCAGGCTAAAATAACAGCAAGATTCAACGCCGCCTCCATTCCGCCATCTTACTTTTGGGGGAAAGGCGCGGCAAAGAAGAAAATGAGAGGGGACTGGTTCTAACCTAAGTGATGTAATGAGAATGAGTTCTTTTTAAGAAAAGGCAAGAACGCGCTGTAGCCGATGTCGTATAAACAATAATATTAAATGGATATAAATGTTTTTATGCATAAAGATGGGTTAAAACATTTTCAATCCGCGTCAGAGACAAACTCTTGAAAACCAATTTAACCTGAATTAGCCTGATTCAAAAATGATCAACGAATGGTACACAGTCTGTAGAAGCGAAGCAAAGCAATCAACGACAATTATGACTGATAATAGAGGCAAACACAGACTCTTTTTATTGAATGTAAAATCGAGTTTAATAATTCATTCAATGCTTTTAAAACTTCAAATATCACAGAAATAATCGATCTTCTATACAATACTACACTATGAGTAAACTTTGTTTGAATACAAATGTTTCATTATGAATTCCAACGTTATTTAGAATAATCAAAAATCCGGGGGAAAATGTATAAATGATGAATAAGAGGAACGCTATGAGTTAATTTGGTAATAATAAAATATTTATAATAATCCTTTTGCAAGGCATCGTATATAGCGCTGTTATCACTTCGCTTTTCAGACCTCAGACGAAGCCCAATTTGTGTCTCGTCAAACTTTGAAAAAGGTCCGTATGCCAAAAATCCAAACTATTAAAACGCAGAAGTATAGGTTCAAAAATGGTTCATCATATTTTATAGATAATTTCTGACAACTAGTCTAAGGTTTTCATAACATTCATGTATATATAATGTAGCTTTCAAAAGCTGTCAAAATCTCAATTGTTGATAAGGACGTTAAATCATTAGCCGAGAGAGAAAACGAGCCAGAGAGAAAACGTTTGAATTTTGAACTCTGAAAATGACAGCGGTAAAAGCTTTTCGATGTAAGAAAACTCAATAAAGATTTCGCTCAAAATTTTACATATATCAAAAAGATTTTGAGTTATCACGTATTTCCGGGTCCAAAGGCCACTAAAATCGTTAAAAAAGTAATCTATTCTATTGAGAACTGTTTTTAACGTTGGACGAATGACGCCACGCTTAAGAGCTCTACTTATAACTCCCCATCCCCACACCCACGGGAATCGCTGTCGTTCTCGTCTTCTTTTCATCTGAACTGGTGTTCCTCCAAGCCTTTTGATTGGCATTACTTGCTTATCTTTCCATTATCTTACAGTACGACTACTATAACCGGGGCTAGTTAGACAGCGAGAACAAATCAAATTGTAGAATCAAAACAATACATTACAACTTTGGGTAGTAAAGCCAATCAGGAAGCAGCAGAAACAATAGCCGTTTAACGTGTCTTTGTAATCTCATTTTATCTCATGAAAAAAAAGACAGTTATTTAGTTCGATTTATTTAGACGTAACACCAGGTCAATTTACCATTCTTGTGCATTCTAGGCTTCTGATTGGCTCGACTATCCAAAGATTTTAATTGGTTCTCTTGTCTAACTAATCTAAGTGGCCCCGGTTACAGTATAGTTGCACTGTAGCTGTTTCGTTATATACCTGATTTATGTACAATTTGCATTCTCCGTTTCCATGACTGGTCTGGATCCAGAGGTATGGTCAGCGTCTACCATCTATACTCTAAAGTCTACTCTTCTCTGTCTTATTTATACGACCCGCTTTATCCACAAACCATTGTCACTCTGTTCGCTGCTACCATGTTAACGCCTGTTCCCTGACCTAGCGTTCTCATGATACTGTCTATACTTTAGAATGGTACTGCTCTGAATGTCTTCTCAGTAGACTAACTGTTCTCTGTCATCATATTTACACCATCTAACACCACAATATTCTTATAATTTAAGCATGTCACACTCTTTTACCTTGACAAAGACTGTTTTCTGACGTTGTGCTAACTCATTCTTCACTGTCGTCACACCATCTCAAACCACCATTGTCTTACAATTCAAGTATACACCTACTTGCAAGAACGTTGTCATACGATATTAGAACATTCGTAATTTAGTAAGAAAGGAATACATTAAAAGACAAAAGAAAAAGTTCAGCTTAGTGATATTTTGTTTTTTAATATAATTCCTATCCCACTAAATCACTGTTCTATTTTCGTATGACGTTCTTGCAAGTAGGTGTATATCATTCACTTTTACCATGTCATCGACTGTTTCCTGACGTCTTGCTCACAGTGGTATTGTCCATACTGTCTTCATAACTCATTGTTCTCTGTCATATTTATACCATCTAACACCACCATGGTTTTCGACAAATCTACAGTACGAATCGCTTTTCCAGAGAGCCTTCCAAACGGGGGTATCATCATAATTGTAGTACTTTCCCAAGATTGGTTTGATATGTTGCGTGGCTTCTTTGATGTGGTAATGCGGCATGTACGAAAAGAGGTGATGTGCGATATGAGCATCTGTCAAGTTATGGAACACGTAATTCAAGATTCCATAGTCCCGATCCATGGTACATAACGCCCCTTTAAGCCATGACCACTCTTCATCATCGTAGTGCGGTACTTTGATATCTGTGTGTTGTAGATAGGTTACGATGACGAGCCACATATTAACATTCAAGTATGGTATTATATATAAATAAATTAACCACTGGATGCTATAGACATATAATGCCAGATATCCCAGTACGACCAGCCATATTATTATCGCTATATCGCTGATGATAACATCTCTGTATTCCTTCTCGCTGAATAAAGGACCTTTAGGCACGAAGTGGTTGACTTTAGTATTATATTTTCTACCTCTTGCATGGAACATCAGGTATGCTGGAAATCCAATCACCAGATACTTCAATACATGGTACAGCTGCTGGAATACGTTTGGGAATTCTAGTTCATCTTCTTTCTCGCGTTCTTTTCTGGTCATAGGTACGAAAGCTTCGTCGCCATCCATCCGATTAGTATTCTTATGATGCTTAGAATGGCTAATTCTCCAAGAATGATACGGTACCAGAAGTGTAGTATGCAGAACTAGTCCAAGCCAGTCACAGATGAATTTGCTGTCACAATACGAATAGTGGCCGCATTCGTGTGCAATTATCCATACTCCAAATGACACACAACCTTGACATATCCAATACACGGGCCAAAATATGACATGAATGTACCAGGGTAGATTCGAATCATACATTTTCACTGCCAGATAGAACATTGCCGATATCATGGCTAGGTCGAAGAGAAGATAGAGCGTGGACTTGAAGAAAGACCTTTCGAAGCAATGAGGTGGGATAGCATTCTTGATGTCCTTCAAAGTAAACGGGGGATCTTCCGCCGGCGCTTTCATTTTTTCATCTTTCAAAATTTCATCTTTATAGAAATAGTCCTTGTCAGTTTTACTTTTCGACTTGGCAGTCATTTTGCAGATAAAAATTCAAATCCAAGACGAGAATCTTCGAGTTCCGCTCGGATAATTCTACAGAAGAGCTTTCTAGTTTCCCCCTTCAAGGCCGACCGGTAAAAAACCTTATGAATTAAAAACTACGATTTACGTCAAGACTTTTGTTGCTGAAAAACAAAACAGCGCATCCCACTCCCCCTGGTGGTTTAAACAGAGAATATTTTGTCTTCTGGACCAATCACGGCTCAAAATGATAAACAAATAGCTGTGATTGGTGGAACGCTGGAGTTGCACCTGTCCTGTTAGCGCGAGTTTGCAAACGCTGAATTATTAAGTGCGACTTACAGGTGAATTGATGAAAGAACTCATTACCTATTTGTAAATAAAAAGCTATTGGATGGAAGAGAATGTTTTGTTTCTTTGATTAAGGATACCCAAGAATCGTTTAAAATTTCGGCTGTTGCATTTTAAGGTTTCAAATTTTTACCCTTGTTAATCCGGTCTAACGTTGGATCAAAGAGAAAATCCGAAAACGAATTAAATATAGAACATTATGGCTATTTCGGCATGACTGAACTAAGAAATTACTGGTTTATTTAAGGGTTAAATACGACAAATAAAAACCAATACTTTAAAATACAACTTTCGCCCAAGAATTAATAGCTCCGAAGAATAAAGCCACACCGCAGTTTTTATTGACTTTTTAAAATCGTTTCTTCTTTTAACCGTGCTGTCGGTGTACGAGTTATAAGGAAGAAATCTAACAAATAAAAAATTAACGATTCGTTTTGGACACAAAAGAATATGAATAAATTTGACAGCCATAAAGGAAAAAAAAATACTTCACAGGAAATGAGTTTGGGCGGTTAATAGAACCATAAATGATTTTTAAGGTTATGTAAGAAAGAAAGAAAAAAAGAAAAAAAGAAAGAGAGAGAGCGAGTAGCCTCCTTCGCAGCCTTTCTTAGGGTCGTCACGCAACGTTGCGTGACGACCCTAAGAACGGCTGCAAAGGAGGCTAGAGAGCGAGTTGAAAGTCTTGAAAGTCACGTGTAACGGAAATAGAGCTTTTAAGTTGTGACGCATTTCCGGGTTCAGCTACTCACAAAGGATTACTAGGTTTCCCACAACAAACATTTCCAGACCACAGTTTTCAAAATGAAATACTTGCCGCCAACAACGAGGGAATTTATTATTTCTAATCGTGAGATATTTTATAAATCTTTTCACGGATGACTTTTTTAATTTTATTCATTTTCAAGTAAAAACAGTTTTTTTAAATCGAGACGAAATCCTGAAACTCGGCTAATTTGTTTGGAGAAAAGCAAAATCACAGCTGTCAAATCCTGTAGTGAAGAAAATGTAAAAAAGCCTTTATAGAACTCTCTGATACTAATTTTTATTGTGAAGTGGATAAGGATCTTACCCCTGACAATCAAAAATTAGTTAAAGACACTGTTAACTCTTTCATTTCTGATGGCTCTTTACC